GGGGGGGAGAAGCCGGGCCTCGCTGCCACCTCTGCCTCCTCCCCGGAGCCGGCAGGCAGGCCGGGGGGCCCGGCGGGCGGGGGGGACACCGGCCTCGCCGCCGCCTCCTCGGGGAGATCGAGGGGGGGATGGAGGAGACGGAGCTCTCCTCCCCCCCAGCGAGTATCGCGGGTCCCCGTCTTGTTTACTGCTATTTGTCTTCAAGAAGAAGTGAAAACCTCAGTTTGTTTAGATATCTATTCCCCATATTTCTACCCAATGAGGACCCAAAGTAGTTTAGAAGGTTCCTCATAGCAGTGACCCTGTGAGAGATAGATAAATCAGCACTATCTGGCACATGCTAATATGTGAAGAAGAATTGATGAGATGGTAGCATAAGAAAGAGTTAGTAGATATTAGTTGAAGGTTCTTCAGGTATAGAATTATAACCCTGCAACTAAGTTCATGGGCCTATTTACTCAGTTTCATGTTTATCTGGATTTTATAGGGCGATGTGGGGCCTCCTGGCTCTCCCGGACAGCCATTATTGGTTGGACCTCCAAGTTCTCATCTGCTAAAGGGAGAAAAGGTATACAAATCATAGCATCTGTTAGTAATGGTAACATTTGTTGTATGGCAATTAATGTCCAATTTACTTGGAAGTCTCCATGGATTTATTTGGAAGTTTAAATTATTTTCATCTAGGTAACTGGGATATGCTTTAATTACCCTAACACAGCTTGTGCAAAGCAAAAGTGGAATGTTCATCCTGCTAAGCTGTGTATCACCTCCACACCGTGGAACCTCTGTATTCAAAGGAGATGTCATGGTACATTACTTGGTACAACTGCAGACATAACAGTAATACAATATAATTTTGCAGAAAAAGTGTTATAAATGGCAAGGGTGCCTTTGATTGTTACTCTCTCCAAAATGAAATTACCTGTAAGAAGCTGTGTATCAACTATGGAGAAACAAGACGGTTTAATGAAATATTTTAATATTTAGGGTATAAAAGGAATGCCTGGATTGATTGGCTCCAAAGGATTGCCTGGCCCCCAAGTAAGTATCAGTGATTTAGTTCTGCATGCTTAATTAGGTATTTCAGTTCTGACTGCTTAGGTCTTTTATCTCATGACTTACCAAAATGCTGACAAGTAGTTTTCCTGGCTAAAAAGTGTATTTTCTCTTTTTTAGGGTTTATTTCTTATACAGTTACAGAACAATTTATGTCAGCAGAGATCCATCTTACTAATAAATGTGTATATGGCTATAGTTTCTTCTTTTTCTGATTTTTGGGAAGAAATCACTTGTATAGTTTAATAAAATTTTCTGATTATGCATCAGTCACAGACTATGCCTGTGATCTGAGAGCCTTTACACTGGGGAATCTGTCAAGAGGACTCTTTAGATGGGAACAAATACTATGCCTACATGGGTAGTAGTTTCTATTTAAAGAGCTGTTACAATGGATCCCCAAACTACTTTTTAAACTTGAGAGGTTTAAGAAGCAGTGGATGTATCTTCTAAGAGAGAATCTGCCAGAATATCAATATGAGTACAAGGATACCGTATGCCACATCTGTGGCTCACTGCTAAAGGGTTTATCTCTTTATTCGAGCTAAATGCTGTGATTTGAATGATAACAGGGTGAACTTGGAAATGGAAAGAAGGGGGAAAAGGGGACTATTGGCTTTCCTGGAATACAGGTAAGGATGTTTCAGAAGAAACCAATTCATTTTCCAAACATATCTGGCTCTTCTACCTTTCTCTAGCAAAAAAGCCTCTTGTTTTGAAGGAATCATTTGAGACCTGAGGAAGGTGCTACTAGTAGTAGAGAAGAGTCATAGGATGTAACCCACTGTCCAGTCTCTTTGACTGTATTAAATTTCATATTTTAATACTTTGCATATTATGAATGAATGAATGAATGAATGAATTTGAATGAATTTTATTGTAACAGCGATTAGCTAGCAATATAAAACCAGAAAAAATGAATTACAATGGCCAAATAATAAAATTTCCAAAATTCAGCGAGGTAAAAAGAGCTAACATTATAAACGTTACGTTCCTTAGAACCAAACTAAAAGTACGCTGCCATAAAACACAGTATAGTATAAAAGAATAAAACATATTACCAAAGGGAACGGTATGAGTTAAAATCATCAGTCCTAACCCGAGTGCCAACCATCATGCTGATGCGCTTCTACCACCAAGGAACAAAATTTCGCGATCTGATGGAGCGCTGTGTGTTCAAGGTTAAGAAACAAGTTCTCCACCTTGTCCTGATCCGAAGTGCCTGCCAGAAGGGGATCAATAAGTTTAGTACGAACCTCTTTAAATAACGGGAATCTTAGGAACACATGTTCCTGGGATTCAATCTCCCCCAACGCACACAAGCATAGCCTCTCTGTTCGGGGTATTTTTTTAAATTTACCCTCAAGAACTGCAGAGGGTAAGGCCGAGCATCTGGCCAGAGTATATGCCCTCCTAAGTTTACGGGACTCCAAAACGTTAAGATATGGGGCCTGCGCAACGATGTATTTAATTCTAATTGGCGCTATAAATGTTGGGGACACCTGTAGATCTAATTGACGTTCGGTATCCTTGAGCCTCTGTCTTATTTCTAACTTAGCTCGGTCCCTACCCATCTCCAAAAGCGCTAAGCTGCACAATTCAGATGAAGTACGAAATTCCAGACTTCCTCCCCTGTAGCCTAGAAACCAGCATACCGGGAATTTAATATATCTCTAACTTTCTGTAATAATAATAATAATAATTTTAAAAATGCACATTACAGGGCTGAGAGGCTGAAATTCAGGGGACATAAGGCATGGCCAAGTTACTTATTAATACTAGTGGGACTTCAATGATTACGACATTTTAACAGGCTTTAACAGGCGGTGGCTCAAGGGGTTAAGACGCTGCACTGCAGGCTGTGGAAGGTCGGTAGTTTAGCAGTTCGAGACCCAAGTGTGCCACATGACGCAGTGAGCTCCCGTCTCTAGTTCCAGCTCCTGCCAACCTAGCAGTTCGAAAGCAAGACATTGCAAGTAGATAAACAGGTACCACTTTGGGGGGAAGGTAACAGCATTCCATGTGCCTTGGTGTTCAGTCATGCCGGCGACATGACCACGGAAACGTCTTTGGACAGCGCCGGCTCTTCGGCTTGGAAATGGAGATGAGCACCACAACCCTAGAGTCGGACTCGACTGGCTTTCGAGCAAGGGAACCTTTACCTTTACCTTTAACAGCAAAAACGCTATTGTTGAACATTCCTGCGGCTGGTTGGAGATAAGCGCGCAACCGAAAAGTGAAACTGACGAGGAGTATCGCGGGAAGAAAGGGGTCAGTGTACCAGCATTTTCCTTCCGACGACAGACAGTGAGTATAACTCCTAGAGAGGACCGGTTTAGCCGGAAGAAGTCGGAAGAAGACTAGAGGGGAACCGGATGTAAGCGTAAGCGCACAGACGGGACCCGGAACAACAAAACCGACCTACTCTACCTAGAAAACCACAGAGAAGTTGCGCCCGACATTTTTAGGAGGACCTGAAACTAAATTGCTTTTTTAAAGGTTTCAAAACTATCTGACTTTAGCGAAAAGAAGGAGAACAGCCTGTTCGCATATAAGGCTTTGGACTTTATGATCAAAAAGAGCTTTTAAAGTGAAACAGCCTAATTTGCCAAAACGGAGACCAGAAGAGGAAGAACAGGCTCAGAAGCGTCTGAAGCCGCATCAGCCAGACCCAGAGTAGCCTCAACTTCTACACCCAAAATGTCAGCAAAGGAGAAGAAGGAGATACAGGCTGCAATGGAAGCTATGGAAAAAAGGATGACGGATGCGATTCAGGCAATGGGAACCAAGATAGAAGAACATCTAGAGAAACAAATGGAAAAGCAAATGCAAATACATCTAAAACAACTTGAAGAGGCCCAAGAAAAAAACATTACCGCAATTAAAGAACTTGTAAAGACAGAAATAACATCTATTAAACAAGAAGTGGAAGGAGCCAACAAGGTCATACAAGATATGGCAACCAAAGTATCAGAGGTTGAAGAGAAAAATCAAGAAAGCAGATAAGAAACATGATTCCTTGGCACAGCAATTTAGAAGATCTGAAACAATGACAGAATTCAGAAGAATGCAAACCCATCTGAGATTCAGGGGAATAGCCGAGAAAGAAGATGAGAACATTAGAGAGACAATGATGAAGGCAATAACAGCATATTTGGATGAAGATGATGGGGATTTGGACAGAGAATTTGATTTGATCTACAGAGTGAATTCTAGAATCGCAGAAAAAAAAGAATCTACCAAGAGATGTCATTGTGCAATTTTTGACAAGAAAAACCACTGAAGACATTTTTAAAAAACAATTCACCAACCAGTTGACCATAGAAGGTAATAGAGTTATGATCATGAGGGAACTCCCGAGAGCAATTTTGCAAGACAGGAGGAGATACAAAGCACTGGCAGACAAACTGAAGACCATGAATATCAGGTTTCGATGGGAGATCCCACAAGGACTGTCTTTTAACTACAAAGGAGGAAGGGTGATGATCAGGTCGACAGAGGACATGTATAGATTCAAAGGGGACAATTTAGATGACTTTGGCGAAATGTAAAAAAAAAACAGCACAATGGAAGTTAAACTATTGTCATGGAATGTTAATGGACTAAATTCACCAAATAAGAGAAACAGAGTCAAATGTTGGATACAAAAACAAAAATGCAACGTGATATGCTTGCAAGAAACTCATATCAAAAGACAAAATGAAAATCTTGTAATAAACAAATCTTTTGGAGAAGAATTTCACTCTCTGGCTGTAAATAAGAAAAAAGGAGTGGTGACTTATGTCAAGGCATCTTTACAACCGAAATAAATTTTTAAGGATTCTGAAGGAAGATATGTAGGGGTGGAGATTTTAGAACAACAGAAAAAAATCTTAATAGTAAATATATATGCACCCAATGGAGCAAAAGAAATTTTCTTTAATGACTTGGCAAAGCAACTGCAGCAGCAAACCTATGAACAAGTAATTATGGCTGGAGACTACAATGGGACAGTTGAAGTTTTGGATAGACAACCGCAAAAGGGACACGGACATAGTGGCAAATTGCCAAAGACTTTTTTCGAGTTAATAGAACAAGAGAAATTGGAAGATGTATGGCGAAAATGGAATTCAACTACAAAGGATTTTACTTTTTTTCCCAATAGACATAATTCCTTCTCTAGGATTGATATGATATGGATGTCAGGGGAATTAGCAATTAACACTCGTAAAATTGAAATTTTGCCCAAAGTTATTTCAGACCACAGTCCACTGATATGGAGTATGAAACAGCCTAATAAACAATACTTATGGAGAATAAATGAAGATTTGTTGGACAGGAAAGAAATGGTGGAGTTATTAAAGGAAGAAACAAAACAATTTTTCCAGCAAAATCTGAACAAAGAGACTCCTATCCATGTGGTGTGGGATGCCTACAAGGCGGTGATGAGAGGACTTCTCATCTCACAAAACACGAGGCAAAAGAAGGAGAAATTTAAGAAACAAGCAGCAGTTCTAGAGAAGATTACACAAAAAGAAGCAGAATTAAAGAAAAGACCGGGGAAAAAGACGATTATAAAAGAACTACAGCTCCTGAGAGAACAATTAAATGTTACATTGAACCAAGAAATGTATTGGAACTTAAAAAAACTCCAACAAAAATCTTTTGAAGGAGCGAACAAACCCGGGAAATATCTGGCTTGGCAATTGAAAACAAGAAAAGAAAGAAGAGTTATTTCAAAGATAGTGGAAGAAGGGAAAGAATTCGTGGACCCTATAGGCATAAAAAGAAGTTTCTTCAAGTATTATGCAAAATTATTTCAAGGCAAGAAAGCTGATCTTGAAAAAATAAAGGACTATCTAGACAACACGACACTGCCAAAAATACAAAGCGAATTCAAAGAACTATTGAATGGTCAAATCCAAAAAGAAGAAGTGTTTAAGGCAATAGAAGAAACTAAATTGGGAAAAGCACCAGGGCCGGATGGTTTTACAGCAAAATTTTACAAAAAGTTAAAAGAAGAAATAACCCCGGCCCTGGTGACCCTATCAAACGAAATAAGAGAAAACAAGACAGTGCCTGATACATGGAAAGAAGTGATTATTTCATTGATACCGAAAGAAGGACAAGACCTAACGAACGTTAAGAATTACAGACCGATTTCGCTTTTAAACAATAACTATAAGATCTTCGCCAAAGTTATAGCAGAAAGGGTGAAAAACTATTTACAAGCAGTGATCTCTGAAGAACAAGCGGGTTTTTTTTACCAAGAAGACAAATAAGAGATAATGTAAGAACGGTAATGGATGCAATTGAGTATTATGAAAAACACCCAGAGAAAGAAGTAGTATTTTTGTTTGTGGATGCTGAAAAAGCGTTTGACAATTTAAATTGGGATTTTATGTTTCAATTGATGGATAAAATTGAAGTGGGGCAAGACTTTAAAAATATAATTGAAGCGATCTATTCAGACCAAAAAGCAAAATTGAATGTAAATAAGGAATTAACAGATCACTTCAGAGTACAAAAAGGAACAAGACAAGGTTGCCCACTTTCTCCTCTATTGTTTATCTGGGCGTTGGAGGTATTATTACGTAAGATACAAGAGGATGGAGAGATTACAGGATTGAGATGCAAGGGTTATACATTTAAGTATAGAGCGTTTGCGGACGATGTAATGTTTATAGTGGAAAATCCTTGTCAAGAATTACCGCTCTTATTTCAAAAAATAACCGACTTTGGTGAATTGGCAGGTTTTTATGTAAATAGAAATAAGACTAAACTGTTATGTAAAAATATGACAAAAAAGAGGCAAGAAGAAGTACAAGAATTGGTACACTGTGAGGTGGTAAAGAAGACAACATATCTGGGAATTGAGTTAACACCAAAAAATATGGACTTGTATAAAAACAACTATGAAAAACTTTGGAACAAGTTAACACAGGATTTTAAGAAATGGGATAACATGAACCTATCCCTTATGGGGAGGATATCCGTGGTTAAAATGAATGTGTTACCAAGATTGATGTTTTTATTTCAAACCATCCCAGTATTGTACAAGACTGATATTTTAACCAAATGGCAACAGGAGATCTCGAAATTTGTTTGGGCAGGAAAAAAGCCCAGAATTAAAATGAAAATTCTCTGTGACGCTAAAGAAAGAGGAGGACTGCAGCTACCAAACCTAAGATTGTACTATGAAGCAGTTTGCTTAACATGGATGGAACATTGGGTGAAATTGGACAATAAAAAACTGCTGGCACTGGAAGGCCATGATTGCAGGTTTGGTTGGCATGCATATTTATGGTACGAGAAGACAAAAATGGATAGCTTTTTTAAACGTCATCTGGTAAGACATGCTTTATTTTTGACATGGACAAGATATAGAAAATATTTTCGAGATGCAAGACCATTATGGATTGTACCAGCAGAAGTTTGGACACCATATTCAAGACAGCAAGGCGAGGAATGGTTGCCTTATAGAGACTTAATAACAAAACAAGGAACATAATGGGTAATGAAAGGGCAGAATGAAATTCAATATAATTATGGATGGCTAAAATATATGCAATTATATGATATTTTTAAAATGGATAAGAAAAACTATGGTTTTAGAGAAGATAAAAACGAAATAGAAACTGTTTGGGAAGGTGGAGGGAGAAAAATGGTTTCTAATATGTATAAAATATTGTTGAAATGGTTTACGGAAGATGAATCTGTAAAAGAACAAATGATAAAATGGGCCGTTAATATGAATAAGGAAATAACTATAGATACATGGGAGTATTTGTGGAAAAATTCTATGAAATTATCTGTGTGTACCAATGTAAAAGAAAATTGTTACAAAATGATATATAGATGGTACATGACACCTAAGAAAATTGCAAATATGAGAACTTGTCTAGTAAATGCTGGAAATGTAAAAAACATGAGGGCTCATTTTACCATATGTGGTGGACATGTGACAAAGCTGTGGATTTTTGGACAAAGGTCCACAATGAAATGCAAAAGATTCTAAAATGTTCTTTTAGGAAAGCACCAGAAATTCTGCTCTTAGGTTTGAAAATGGAAGAATTGAATGTAACAAAAAAGACATTGTTCTGGTATTTGATAACCACAGTTAGGATGGTATATGCCCAATATTGGAAACAGGAAAAAATACCAGATTTGGAAGAGTGGATACGAAAAGTTCTGTTCATGGCCGAAATGGACAAAATAATGAAAAAGTTGAACAACGAAGAAGACCAGAAATTTTTTGAAGAATGGAGTGACTTTAAATCATATTTAGAAAAAAACTGGGACGTGAAACATAATTTACTGTGTCTAGAACAATATTAAGTATGTGATGTTATCTTGATTTTACTGACTATGTATGACATGAGGGAGACGCATTGCGGGAAGCCTTTTTGGGGGAAGGGGGGGAAATGGGTTTTTTGTAACTGTTGGATAAATAGATGAAAAATATGTGACCAAATAGAAAAAAAAAATCTTTTTGAACAAAAAAAGAAGAAGATGGAGTATAAGGCAATCATGGCTTCAACCTTCAGCACTTTGCATATTATCTTTCTATTATATTTTATATTATTTAATTTCCTATCTGATTTTAAGCATTATTGTCACACATCTGCCCTAAGCATGCCTGGTGGGACTTTTGACTTTCTTTAAATAGGTGACCTTAATGCTATAATCTAATTGCTTCTGACATTTCCCTGGGATTCAAATAAGATTTACCATGCATTTGGGGGAGGGGATGGGGAGGTGCTGTTCAAGAAACTGAAGTCAAACGATCACTGTGCATATGGACCTGATATGTACTTTTTAACATCCTTGGAATCAGAGGTCATTTCGGGGGGGAACGCAGTTCCCCCGGGTGAGGTGCAGGGGGGCGGGGCACATGACAAAGCCCCGCCCCCTGCTTCCGGCCGCCCTGCTTCCAGCCCTCATTTAGGCAGGAGAAGAGGGAGGGTAAGTTTCTTCCTCCCCGCCTCTCCCCACCCCTGCCTGCCTGGGGCCAGGGAGGGCCTTGGCGGGGCTTCCTCGCACTCCCACTGGCCTTGCAGGTCCACCACCGGGCCCCTGATGTCAGGGGGTGTGGCATATGCTAATGAGTTATGCTAATGAGTTCCCCTAGCTCTTTTTCTACGAAATGACCCCTGCTTGGAATAACTAACTTGTGTATATAAAGGATGTTCTGGCCCTCAAAGCCATTTTTGTGTAGTCTTATCAACTGAGCAGTGGCTCAGTGGTTAAGGCGCTGAACTGCAGGCCAGAAGGTCAGTAGTTCAGCAGTTCGAGACCCGAGTGCCGCATGACGGAGTGAGCTCCCGTCTCTGGCCCCAGCTCCTGCCAACCTAGCAGTTTGAAAGCAAGAAATTGCAAGTAGATAAATAGGTACCACTTCGGTGGGAAGGTAACAACGTTCCACGTGCCTTGGTGTTTAGTCATGCTGGCCACATGACCATGGATACGTCTTCGGACAGCGCTGGCTCTTCAGCTTGGAAACGGAGATGAGCACCGCAACCCTAGAGTCGGATTCATCTGGCTTTTGAGCAAGGGAAACCTTTACCTTACCTTTATCAACTACTTTAAAATGTATGGTGTTTTTAAAAGTTATGTGTTTCAGCTATGCAAATTTTAGAATACTTCAGCCGTCTGCAAGAGTAGCAAAGGACAGAAACAATTAGTTAAAGTAAAACCTGTTGAAATCTGTGGTATGTACTGGTACATAATGACTCCGTGCTAACCAAAGATTGTCATCCCTGTTTACCATTCAGGCTGTTCTAGAAACTGCTTGAGATGGCCACTAAGTCCCTATGCCCGTGTAACTTGGCAATGTGCCATGCCACTCCTGTTTCCTTTGTTCCTGTTCTGTTCCATGAGTAGGTGGGTCAGGATGATGTCAAGGAGGCAGGCTGGTATCACTCTGTATTGTTTGGTTGCTTTGTCTGGCTGATGAGGGTATCATCAGCATGTTGCACCATGATTAGTAGATGTTGGCAGTGTTGCTGTGTACCCCATTGCCAATGTTATGCTCTCAATTCCTCAAAGTTTTTATTTTTTAAAAAAATATGTTTTCTCTGCTGAGTGTAGGATACTGACTAGCTTCACTGATGCATAGGTACTGGAGTTCTAAGGACTAACCTGTAAATCCATTTAATTATGACTAGCTTTATTTATATCAGGGTCTTATGTGTAGGTGCATTCCAATGATTTAAATGTAATTTACTTCCAGTGTGTTTATATATTCAGTGTATTGTAAATAACTGATGTTTTGTGTGATTCTCTATCTTTTATTTTTACTGTAGGGGACTCCTGGTTCTTATGGATCTCCAGGTTTTCCAGGAAACAAGGTAGAATACAAAAACATGATGTTACTTGTGATTAATTGCTGAAACAAATTTGGGAATATATATTATATAGATACTATGTTGGTAGTATAAATATCAAATATCTTCCATTGTTATATAAGTTACTGTCACTGCTGATGAGTTCTTTTTGTCTTTTTACCATTATCATTTATACTTCTGATAGTGAGAAACCAGGATATTTGATTGCATATTCATTTATTAAATGAATAATGTAGGTTGTCTGAGAAGCTACATTATGATTATAAACTGGCTCTGAACTGGCAAATCTTGTCAGATAGGACTCTAATAGAAGCATATGTACAGTTCCTGATTAAAAGATTTCCCTTCTTTTTATTATTTTATCTTTTCTAGTATAATGTCCATTAAATTAGGGAGTGACATTTTGAAGAATGAGTGTAATTAATGTCAGTGGAACTAATTTGCATGCTAAAATAATCTAAGAGGATCACAACAAATAAAAAAATAATAAAATATACCAGCTGTAGCACAGCGTGCATCATCTGCCTGCTTGTTTTTTAAAATAAGCATTCACTTGTATAGGGACAGAGAGACATATAACACATAACATATTAAAAATATTTTTTCAGGGTGAATTGGGAATTTCTGGGTTTCCTGGGCAACCTGGCTTTCCAGGCACCAAGGTAAGCTTTTAATATGTATATCAAACTTGTATGGAATGTAAACTATTCCTTACCAGCACAGAGCAGTTATTTTAAAATAATCTGATATATATAAAAGCCTAATGTATTGGCAGTTTCCAGCTCTCCCATTAGCTGTGCTGTGCACGCCATCAGCCATCAACCACCACTGAAGAGTATGCACGTGCCATTGGCTGGGTACTGGGTCTGCTCCTCTCACCCACCCACTGCCAGCCTGGCCACTATTATTCCATGACAGAATAAACTTCCAAAACAGCTGTCTCTCCTGATGAAGATGCTTCACCTCCTCCTGCTGCTAGGCTCACTTTTGCTTCACTGGCTGTTGCTAAGCAAGCAAGCTTGTTTCTGTCAGTAAAAGGTAGGGGGAGGAGGCCCTTTCCAGGCCAGTTTTGGCCTTTGAGAGAAAACTCACTGGTGTCCATCATGACTAGAGTTGCCAGCTCCAGGTTGGGAAATTCCTGGAGACTTTGTGGTGGAGTCTATGGAAGGCAAAGTTTGGGGAGGGGAGAGGCCTCAACTGAATAGAATACCATAGAGTCCACCCTCCAAAGCAGTTATTTTCTCCACAGGGAGAGAGATCTATTGTCTGGAGTTCATTTGTGATACCACTCCTCCCCCCACCTTTCACTGACAGAACCAGGTGATCTTCAGGCTCCACATGGAGGTTGGCTACTCAAAGCCTGGCAGTGCCCTCTGGGTAACTTGGATTTATACCCCATTCTTCACTACCCAAAGGAGCCTCAGAGTAGCTTACAATCCCTTTCCCTTTTCCTCCCCACAGCAGACACCCTGTGAGATAGGTGGGGCTGAGAGAGCTCTCTTGAGAACTGCCCTTGAGAGAACAGCTCTGAAAGAATTTATGACTGACCCAAGGTCGCACCAGCAGCTGCATGTGGAGGAGTGGGGAATCAAACCTGGTTCTTCCAGATTAGAGTCCATGCTCTTAACCTCTACTCCAAATTGGCTCTCAACTAGGACAGCCAATGTGGCATAGCAATTAGCGCTTCAGAGCAGGGTCTGCCAGACGTAGGCTCTTGCTGTGGAAGCTGAGTGGGTGATTTCAGACCAGTCACAGACTTTCAACCTAACCTACCTCACAGGGTTGTTGTGCAGATCAAAAGGGGGAGAGGAGGAGGATGTAAGCTGCTTTGGTCCCCACTGTGGAGAAAGACCGTATTTGTCCTCCTGGGGAACTATGGTTGCCAATCTCCAGGTGAGGGCTGGAGATCACTCAGAATTACAACAATTCTCCAGATGACAGAGATCAGTTCCCCTGGAGAAAATGGTGGACTCTTTCTCATTATATCCTGCTGATAATTTAAGCTCCCACCCAGTCATTTCCTCAACCTGAAAAACAGTTCCATGGAAATGCTATTTGTCACATTGGGGTAAATATTCAGTTTCCTATATCTGATGAAGGGAGCTTCAAGTCTTCAAAGCTTATTAACCCCCCCCAAAAAAAAAAACTTGCTAATTTCTAAGGTGTTATTGGACTCTCATCTAGGTCCCCATACATCTACTGATCCAGGGCTACTCTAGTGGGTATCCCTTAGAAGAACAGGGCCAATTTTAAGAACAGCAAATCCTTGATTTCTGTGTGTGGGGGGGAGATTTTGAATGGGAAAGGAGTGGTTAGTCATTTTGTCACTATTTCTGCCATTTCTCTACTCCAGTTAGCACTTTATGCATTTTCCCCCCCCACACACACACACATTAAACTGCAGGGAGAAAAAATTAAGGGAAAACTGGCAAGTGAGGAAATGGTTATGGTGCCTTCATTGCTAATGGGAAAATGCAGCACCAATATAGCATAATGGAGGAATCAGTAACTAGCCCAAAGTTCAGTTGTCTGATCTTGACCCAAGGACCTCCCTTTGTTTTGAAGACAAGTTGCTTTCTCTCACCTAACCCAAGACAGAAGCTGTTTTCATTGTTTACATGAGAGGCTTCAATCTCCAGTACTTCAGATGTGAGCCATTGATTCACTACTGCAAATGCAGAGACAGAGGCAAAGGACTCTAATTTCTGCAGTGTCCAGCTGATTTGGGTGAGACTGTCTCACACACATTCTTTTTCTTTGCAACCCCCCCCTCCTTCTCAGGCAGGCTGTGGAGGCACTTTTTACACATACACTTTTTTCCCCTTTACCTCTTAGTGAGGACCTGGAAAGGCGGGGAGGGGGGTTGCGGAGGCCTTTCCTGGACCTGAAAAGGCAGGGAGGGGAACCGAACCGGAACTTACCTTCCTTCTTCTTTCTCTTCACAGCCAGACTGAGAGGAGGGCTGCTGGAAGTGGGGGGGTGGGGCTTGCTACATGTCCCCACCTCCTGGCCTCCTCTCTTCCAGAGCATCGCTCCGGGGAGCTCTTGCCCCAAAAGAGGCCTGGTTACCTGGGAAGGAGATAGGGTTGCCAAGTCTAGGTTGGGAAAATTCTGGAGATTTGAGGAGTGGAGTCTGGAGTCGGTGGGGCTTGAGGAGGGGTGGGACCTCAGAAAGGTACAATGCGATAGACTCCACCCTCCAAACCAGTCATTTCCTACTGGGGAACCACTGTTGCCAATCTCCAGGGGAGGGCTGGAGATCACTCAGAATTACAAGTGTTCTTCAGAAGGCAGTTCTGAAAAACACTGAGAAAACAGTGGACTCTGCATCATTATACCCTGCTGAGGTTGCCACAGAAAATTGACACTGAGTGCCCAAGGCCTGGGCACCCCCCCAGAGCCTCTTTCTAGAGCTTGTTGTATTTATTTCCACGAAGGGCCTTATTTCTAGTCCCAATATATTTCATTATTGTGCTTTATTATTTTCCTTCCGCAACTATGTATGTAAGGTATGAATATCATTGTATTGTTACATTGCAATAAATCTGATCACTCCCACAGGGGGAACCTGGAAAGAGGGGGCAGCCAGGTCCACCAGGCGCTCAAACAACAGCAGGTGTTGGAATAAAAGGTATAATTAATATTAAATTATTTTAGATTTAATAAAAATCATGATAACATTACATTATTTTTAAAACACCATCCTCTTGATGATCTTGTTTAGGTATTCAAGGAGATCCTGGAGATCCTGGGCCCTCTGGAGATGTTGGTGCCACTGGATTGCCTGGTCCTTCAGGCATGGATGGAAGGCCAGGAGAACCTGGAGCTAGTAAGAGTCTTACAGTAGAACATATAAGGATTTTTTTTAAATCATGTCATTGTATTTGCACGTGTGAAAACATTTGTCTTTATTTATTTAGGACATTTCCATTCTGCCTTTCTAATTAAGTGATTACTGAAAGTGGTTCACAGTATCATACAGCAATAATCGTAAAATAACAAAAGCCATTTGCAAAGGACAGAAAACGGTATATTATCAAGAGCTACAATTTAAAATCAAGCTTAGAAGTTTAGTTTTTAAAGGATTTCCAAACTAAAAACATTTTAGCTGCCATCAAGGCCTGCAATGAAGGGGGATTTAATTGCTGTTATGTCAGTGAAGTTATGCAGACCGCTGCCCTTTGACTTAAAAACCTGTCCAAGTAGCCCTTAATAGTGTACATTAGATCTATTGAGCTTAATTAAAACTTTTCATGAAAAGCACAACTCTGGTGCATGATGAGGAGTCCTATAAGCCATGGGAGTCATGACTTGGACATCATATTTAAGACAGATTCTTTTTTTAAAAAAAGTTTTTTCACTCAACATTAAAAATCATAATGCAGTAAACAGAACTGAGGTTTCTCCATGTGTCAGAGAGTGACTGAGAACTAAATAAATGTGCTGAAGCTTGAAAACTGCATATTGAGCTTGCTGATAGGCTTGTAGCTGGTGCTATAAAATATTATGGAGAGCCAGTATGTTGCATAGTAATTAGAGTGTTAGACTAGGGTTGGGGAGGCCTGAGATAAAGTCCCCATTCTGCTAAGAAATTCACTGTGGATCAATCATACTTTCTCAAATGAACCCACCTCAAGGGGTAGAGTGAAGATAAAATTAGGAGGGGAGAATCATCAGCCTTTATGAGCTCCTTGGAGAAACGGCAGGGCATAAATATGATACATAGGTAATGATCGGTCTGAATGTCATGATAATTATGAATGCAAGAATTTGTTTCCATATTCCTAGAAGGAGACATGCTTCAATGGGCAAAGTCAAGATATGACTTTGGAACATTTTACATTGCTATAAATAAAACTGGTGAAGATACTTTCTTGCCCATTTCACAGGAATTAAGATTAATAAAAGAAATTTGTTCTGTCAAGTAATCTGTCAAATAAAATACATAAACATGTTAACGTCTTTAAGTCCTTTTACTGAGGTGCTTAGAGAAAGACTGAAGATTCTGGCCAGTTGGGAAAAATTGGTGACAGCAGCATTTTTTAGAGAACTGATTAAGCATTTGGAGATCTGTGCAGTTTACTCTCGTGTCTCTGATGCTGTTTCATAGGGAAATGCTTGTGTAGAATATTCCTTAGTTAATAACATAACATATATTTTGACAATAAAAACCATGAGCAAATATTAGAAACTGCAATGAGTTTTCCTTTATAGAAATGCCCTTCTAAATAGTTCTGTTTTGCATATTTGGTGGAGTGATAATAGTGTGGGAGTGTTACTGACCTCATTAGGTAGTTTACAAGAAAGAAGACTCGTGAAACTCGCGGGGGGCGGGGGTGGGGGAGTCCCCAACATGGTGCCTGTGGGCACCCTGGCAACTGCCAACCCCTTGTCTGGTGCCTGCCAAGTGTTTTTACAAAATGGGTGAAGCTGGGTAGGGTTGGCAACTCAAAAGGGTCCCCTCATGGCCCACAGGCAATCAGGTCGCCTACAGGAACCCGCCAAAGTAACGGGCGACATTTCCCAGGAGAAATACTGCACCGGGCACCCAAGGTCATATAGCACAGCAGACAGATAAAAAAACAGCAGACAGATAATAAAAAACAAAAGGAACAGCAGAAACGAAAGTCATCATCTCATCTCCCCGGCCGGCTGACTCCGAGGTGGCAGCGGCGGCGAGCCCAGCTGTTCCCCCCTCCCAAGCGAGGCCGGCGGCGGCGAGGGAGTGTGCAGAGCGTTCCCTGCGCATCCCCCCGATATTTTTTTTAGTTTTTAGATTTTTGTGCACACCTGGGGACCACCCCACGTGTGCACAAAACTCTCCCTCCCCCCCAGGTGCCCCTGATGTGCGGATTTAGATATCCGCACAGAGGGGGCAACTTGGCTATTAGATATATAGATTCCATCAGGTGTGGAGGGGCACAAAAGAGAATATCTTGGGTATAAAATTCCATAGTGTTTTCTTTATCTTTTTAATAGGTGTCCCAGGTTCCAAAGGTAGTTTGGGAATACAAGGTCCTCAAGGTGCTCGAGGAGAGCCTGGCCTCCCTGCTATATCTGAAACTGCTCCAGGAAGACCAGGATCGCCGGGATTACCAGGTTTACCCGGAAGACTAGGAAGCCAGGGCTTGCCTGGGCCACCAGGTACATTAAATGGATTGTTTCAAAGCATTGCATGAGATTAGCAGTTGTTAATAATAACAGGATATTGATGAAAACAGTAAAAACCGAAGTTATTTCCCCTAATGTTTGTTCTGCAGCACTACATATGAGTATATTATAAGTTGAATAAAGAATCTGGTGGGTAGCCATGTTGGTCTGAAGCAGCAGAACCAAGTTTGAGTCCAGTGGCACCTTTAATTTGTTTATGTATTTATTTATTTTCAATTTGTATCCCGCTAGCTAGTTCTTAACATGAAGTCCAGATCTTACTCAATCCTACCATTGTTGTTATTATAATTACTTTACAATACAATAACATTAAAACCTCTTTTATATTTCTGTTCAAGTATCTCCTTCCTTGTTGCTAATTTAAATATAATTCATACTAGGCGCATATTTAGAGCAAAAAGCATCAAAAACATAAACATGCTATGAAATTACAAACTGTCCATTTTTGTTGTTCAGTCACTCAGTCGAGTCCGACTCTTTCCGACCCCATGGACCAGCTCCCGCTGCTGTCCTCTGAAGTTTGCTCAACTTCATGTTCGTTGCATCGATGATACTGTCTAACCATCTCATCCTTTGCCGTCCCCGTCTTCTTTGACCTTCAATCTTTCCCAGCATCAGGGTCTTCTCCAGTGAGTGCTCCCTTCTCATTTGGTGGCCAAAGTATTTGAGCTTCAGTTTCATTATCTGGCCTTCCAGGGAACAGTCAGGGTTGATTTCTTTTAGGATTGACTGATTTGATCTTCTTGCAGTCCAAGGGATTCTCAAGAGTCTTCTCCAGCACCATAGTTCAAACGAATCTATTCTTCGGTGCTCGGCCTTCCTTATAGTCCAACTCTCGCAGCCATACATGACTACTGGGAATACCATTGCTTTGACCATGCGGACTTTTGTTGGCAGGTTGATGTCTCTACTTTTTATCATGCTGTTTAGGTTCGCCATTGCTTTCCTCCCAAGGAGCAGGCGTCTTTTAATTTCATGGCTGCTGTCACAGTAAACCAATCAGTTGTTCCATATCCGGTTCTAACTGTCGCTTCTTGGCGACATGTGAGGTTTCTCAAGAGACATGTGAGGTGGTCTGGTACTCCCATCTCTTTAAGGACCTGCCATAGTTTGTTGTGATCCACACAGTCAAAGGCTTTAGCATAGTCAATGAAGCAGAAGTAGATGTTTTTCTGGTACTCTCTTGCTTTCTCCATAATCCAGCGAATGTTGGCAATTTGATCTCTAGTTCCTCTACCTCTTCGAAACCCAGCTTGTACTTCTGGCAGTTCTCTATCCACGTACTGTGCATTATTCTGTCACAATAACACCTTTAAACTATTTCTATCCACAATTAGTGAGCTACCACCAAGAACAAAGAGTACATCATATATCTTTTCCTTCCCCCCCTCTTTCTAAAGCTTTCCTTTCCTTTTCAATTTCTTTCAGATGTCTCCAATTTTTATATTCACGAAGTTTCTTTTCCAAAACCGTTCTTCCATTTTCCAAGAATCCAATCTTCAATCCTTTTCCCACTTTAAATCTCTTTACCACGTTCTTCCCTCTTCTTTTTCTTTTTTCCAGCTTTCTCTTTTTTAAACATATTCTTTTTGCTATTTCCTTTTCTACTGCACCAATTATTGGTTCTTTTGAGCAATGTCCAATGTCCCTTCCTTTATCTTGAGCTTTTCCCACTAAATTCAGGTGGTCTTTAGACAGTTCCTTCACTCCCTCCTGTAAGTAATCTTGTTCCTCCTTGCATTTTTGAATATCTTGTTGGTTCTCCTTGGCTGCGGTCACACGGAACATTAGCCACGCTAGAGAGACGGAAGACAGGCGGATTTTCCGGGCGTGATCTCACCAGCTCATCTGGGAAGCGTAGTGCTCCCGTGGCTCAACCGAGGCTTCCCGCCGAAGACGCGCGGCAAAAAACTAGTACCTCGGAGGTACTAGTTTCCGGAAACCGCGGGGCAAGGGCGGGCGTCTGATCGCGTTTCCGGTGGTATCCGGCGCCCGCCCATGTCCCCTTGCAAAAACGTTTTTTCCCCCAAGTCTCCGTGGATGCACACAAGCACCCAACGGAGCATGCGCATTTTTGGTGTACACGGAAAAAAACCAGGTTTGCCGCACCGCGCCGCTTCTTTGTTGCACGCAGGACCGTCCTGTGATCAGCACCTCTCCCTACCACGGGACCTCCATGGGAGGTCTGATTGCTTAACCCTGCGTTAGTTTGCCCCGGGGCAAACAGCCACGCTTCCCCCCCCCGCATTTTCCTGCCCGTGTGACCGGAGCCCTTGTTACTTTTATTTTGACTTACATTTGTATATTTTCCCACAAGATTACTACAGGCAGTTTTAACTGCTTGGGTAATTTCTCTCACCAAAAAGTTTTGGAATTGTTCCCAGGTGAGGGTTTTAACTAAAGTATCTGTATCCCATTCTTCCTCAGCCATTCTCAATTTTCTAACACTACCAATTCTTAGACAGAAATTCAATTTTCCAAAATCGCTTTATGCAGTTCTTTTAGTTTATTGTTTTGTTACTTTCCACCAAATCCCATTCATAGCACACAACTGCAGCTCAAATAGGGAAAAAAACCAACCCTTTTCTTACCCCCTCAACTTTACAACAAATTCCATTCCCAGTCCTTTCGCAGCCGCTTCATCATGTTTGGGAACATCTTCTAGGGGTATTTAAATCCAAAATGTTTCATCCTTCAACCTTCTCCTGTTTCTACGCAGTTAAGTCTCTTCTTGTGATGTGTAGCCAATTTTCTTCAACTTTAAAAACAATGGCCGGTCGCCACTAAGGGAAACATGGCAGCCATGTTTCCTCCTCTGCTCCGCTCCTGCTTCAGGGCAAGTCAGCCACACACCCGCCATTTGCCGTCTATGGGGGGGCTGAAAAAGCCCCCTGCTGCTCTCCTCCCTCCAGGAGGTTGAGCCGATGCGGGTAACCCCCGAAGAGCGAAAAGGGAGCAAACGGCTCGGGAGACTCCCGAGACACATCCGTTCGTGACACCAACACCAGAAGCTCTCCCTGCATCATCTGCTACTTGATGCTTTTAACTTTAGATGCCAAGAATCGAACCTGAACTCTTCTGTATGCAAAGCAGATGCTGTTCCACTGAGCTATGCCCTCTTCCTATTTCAGTAGAAATAGCACCATTTAATCAAATTATTTCATTTTGTAAATAATAAATTAAGGCTGAAGGGGCATTCTGTTTCCACCACGTGTCTCCAAAACCCAGCTGAACACAGATGAAGCTGTCTCATATTGAATCAGGTGTGAAAAACCAATAACTTATGATTATAGTAATAACCCTTTAAATAACAAATCATGAATAAACAAAGTTCATGTAAGTAAATTCCAATGATTAATAATAATGATGATGGGAATTCCTCTCAAGGAATATAACAAGTTAGCAAAGTATAAGAATTTTTGCAAGCAAGATTCTTCTGAAGCATAGAGATCCAAGCCTGCCGGGCTTCCCTCTGTTGAAGCTATTGCTGAATAAGGATCCAAGAGCCCAATGAACAATCAATATACGTAGTTTCAAAGACTCTCCTTTTCAAGAGCTGATGATCCTTAAGAATGATTTATCTCCATTGTAAACGAGGTAAACAAGGTACTTCAAAGATGGAACAGATTGTTTGGTCTTTACAGGGTTATTATTATAACCATAAGTTATTGGTTTTTCACACTTGATGTTTTCTATGTGTAATGCGTTTCTTATATGTTCATATTGAATCAGTCCATTGATCCATCAAGGTCAGTACTGTCCACTCAGACTTGCAGCAGCTCTCCAGGGTCTCAGGCAGAGGTCTTTCACATCTTTTGCGTAGTTATTTCAGCTGGAGATGCCTGAAATTGAACCTGGGACCTTCTGCATGCTAAGCAGATGCTCTAACACTGAGCCATAGCCCCTTCTCCAAAGCAAAGTAGGGTCAAAAGGGAATAATTTCCAGCAAAACCCCCCAAAACACAATAGGCTGGAAGAGGCTTTACCCCTTTCTGCCTCTTACTGACTGCCATGACTGCAATTTGTTCTCAAGGAAAAGCAGTTGCTCATGACTTTTCTTCTGGACATCATATTCTCTCCACTGCTGTATGCTTTGGAGAAAGAGAGACCAAGCTTTGAAGATGCATCGAGGAATCAGACTGTGCTGTTTCACTTTAAACTTGAGGAATTGAAGGGAGTGAAGCAGGGACTTATAGATACCTAGCCCAAAAGAAATTCCATGCATCTAGGCAGCCAGTAATCCAGAAAGTGAACCCTAAGGGAGCAGCAGCATGGAAACTTACATGTATCAGAAGGGATACCACATGGCTACACAAAACTGGTATGTCAAAGACACACCAAAGCAAAGCACAGGAACTTCCAAGTCAAAACTGAGCATGGCAAGGCACAACACTCAGTGTACATGGCAGTAGTGAGGCACAAATACCCCAGAAGCCAATTACAGTTTGCAGACAAATTCTGGCTCTAGTTACAGAGTCAGAGGCTTGATAGAAAAAAAAATATTCCTTTTATCTGAGCCTGTAGAAAGAGTAGTGAGATCCAGGTGAGCTAAGAGCTATATTTCCTGATTGGCTGGAGGGGCAGGTTTGTGGCAGAAAATTCCATTGCCCAAATTAGATCACTCTGTGCTAGGAACCTTTAGTGAGAAATACTAAAGTGGACTTTAGTTCTTTCTAACACTCAAGTGCTAAAGTGGGCCAGATCATTTGTACTATAATGGATTATAATTAAATATAGGCTTCAGCTATTGCTGCCATTATAGTTTTTTTACCTGCTTGACATTTCCCCTCAAGAATGAATCTGTTTGAACAATTTGAAAAAAAATTATAACCAATTTAATTGAAAAACTGTGTCTTTGTAATCAAGGTGTTGCTTGCAGTGGGATGGGGTCCCCTGGACAACCAGGAGCTAAAGGCCAGAGAGGTCCATCAGGGGAAAGAGGTGAAAAAGGAGGAAAAGGCAAGTATGGATCTTTCAGAGAACAGATAACTCGCATCTATGTAATTTAATAATTAACAGTGCAGTCCTAAAGACACCCTTCTTAAACCCATTGACTGCGTGGACTTAGAAGGATGTCACTCCACTTAGGGTAGCACTATAATATCCTTAAAATGGCATTCATTATTATTTTGCTTAATACTCCATATTATAAAACTGGTTCAAAGCTTCATTTTTTTTGTGCTCATATAGGGAGTCCAGGCAACTGTTCATGTGGAACTGGTCCCTGTGGCCCACCAGGAAAACCAGGTCTACCAGGTAATCCCGGAAGAAAAGGAGAAACTGGGTTACCTGGAAAATATGGGAAGAAAGGTGACCAAGGTTTACCTGGCAGAATTGGACAACAAGGTTCCATCGTGAGTAACTCCAGCCTATAGGTCATTTTTTGAATTTCCAAGAAGAAAACCACCATGATTTTTTATATTGTTGGTTCTTTTCCTGAGGATACAAGATTGATTTTCTCAGGTTTTGAAAATATGAATTGGAATGTGCTTTGGTATATTGTTATGTCAAAAAGTTCATTTTCACTAGAGGCATGCTTTTATTTCCTTGAAAGGGTATTGTGGGAAATCAGAGTGTTAAAACTGAAAACAGTTGGGTTCAAGTGCACAGTCAACTCCCCAAAACTCCCCAAAACCTACACTGTCAGTGACTAGGGAAGGAGGAATGGGAGCCTCCTCCTCCACCAGCACCTGGTGCAGAGGCTACTGTGTTTGAAGCGGATGGGTGCCCAAGTGTCTACCACTTCTGCTCCTGTAGTGGGGCTGGGGGAGGAGGTGCAGGAGCTTTCCCTGAACTCCCAACATCCCCATCTGCTGCCAATCCATGACGTGAGCCATTGGAGGGGAGGCCCCTGGGCAACACAGTCATGGAGGGGGGACAGCCAGCCTGCTTGGTAAGTGCCTGGCCTTACAGCCAGAGAGAGAAATATTCTAAGAGAAGGGGAGAGGGTGGTGAGCAGGAGAGACATACTGACAGAAAAATTAGGTGTGGGAGGGAGAAACAGTGAGACAGAGAGAGAGACAGAGAGAGATTGTAAGGAAGAAGGGATGTGGGAAGGTGAAAGAGACAGAAACACTCACTGGGAGAGAAAGAGTGGAGAGGAAAGTGAAGGAGGCAAAAGAGAGTGGGGATGGAATGCCCTCTGTGCAAGTTCTTTGTGTGTCTCTGCTTGTAATGTATTTATTTTTAAAATTATAAGGGAATGCCAGGTTCCTCTGGATTCACTGGAGAAAAAGGAGATAAAGGTGAATCGGTTAAAATAACAATGAAAGGTAAATATGTATCTTATTGTACCCATGAGTTTTTTAAAGTGGTAAAACTTTGCCTTGATTACTCCACTATTGTTTCTTGCTTGTGGGAGAGAAGCGTCACCACATACAACATGTAAGTCAGCTTGGGAGGAGAAAGCCAGACATATGTAACATGGGAGACACAGAGAAAGGAAGGAGCTGCCTGACAGAAAAAGCAGTGATGGTGATTGCAATCCTTTCCTGTGAGTGAGCCATTGAATAAAATAGGACTTACTTCTGAGTAGACCTTAGGATTGCCCCCCCCCCCGAGTGTACACATGGGAGACAGAGAAAGTCAGTAACAGAGATGGGTATGTTTGTGTGATGGAGAGAGAAGCAACTTGAGAGAGGTGTGCATGACACAGACAGTGCTGCTAGCAATGATGTGTATGTGTGTGGGGTATTATCCAGACACAAGGTGTGTGTAGCACAGCCTTTAGAAATGCAGTATTTTTGTTTATTAGCTCACCCAGTTTTCCAGGACTTTTGTGCCCTTTGTAAAAGCATCAAAGCATGTGAACAGAAAATATACCAAATGGGGGATCTACAAGAACTTGCAGGGGACATCTTATTTTCTTTTCCTCACTCTTTCCCTTCCCTGGTAGCCCTCATAGCCTTTCCCCTTTTCTTGCTTCCTTCTATCCTTCCGGCCCACCAGTGTTTATCTGCCCCCTATCTTCAGTTTTCTGCCCCATGTCCTCAGATTTCCCTCCCTTGGCAGCCTCTTTGTGGGAAAACTCTGTCCATGTCATGCAGTGCCAACTGAATTGGGCTCAGTTGTGTGGTGGGGAACTGCAAGGACACATGGGTAGAGTACCTCCCTTTCCCATGCAACTCCTTCCCACAATACTTCCTCTTTCCCACTCCCCACACTATTTCCTCTGTCCCTCCTCCTGGCAACCCCTGTATTCTCACATTTTCCTACTTTCTTTTCTCTTTTCCATCCTACCTTTTATCTCCCCCTCCCCATCTTCAGCAATATTTATTATTCATTTACTTCATTTCTACCCCACTTTTCTCTGCTATGGGAACCCAAATCAGCTTACATCATTCTCCTCTCCTCCTTTTTATCCTCACAACCAGGGCTTTTTTCTGGGGGAGTGCGCTGGAATGGAGTTCCAGAACCTCTTCAACATTTTTTTTTAATGTTTAAAAGTTCATGAGTTTTCAGTATACAGATTGAAAACTTTATTTCCCTCTTGAGAGTTCCGGCACCTCTTTTTTTTTAAAAAAAAAAAAAAAAAAAAAGCCCTGCTCACATCACATCTTGTGAGGGTTGGCTGGAGTGATGGATTTATGGCTGAGAGTGTTTGTTTGGCCCAAAGTCACCTAGTGAGCTTCCATAGCAGAGTGGAGATTTGAACCTGAGTCTCCCAGATCCTAAACTAACCACACTGGCTGTCATGGGTGGCTGCTGTTGAACAGTTGCTGTTGAAGCAATGTGGATCTAGGTGAGTTATTTAAGTTGTGTCATAGCAAGTCATTCAGACGTTGCTGCCAGACCTGGCCCCAATGAATTGTCCCTCAAAGGCCAAAATAGCCCTGGAAATGGCCTTGCCCTCACTGCCTTTTTCTGACAGAAACCAAGACTTGATGGCTGTCAATACTGTTGTGGTTGCCTAGCAACCACCACTGAGGGCATCTGTTTCTTAAAGCTACAGTGCTCCTTTTAGGGTTGCCAGTTCTTACCTAGCCTCCGGTCGCGGGGGGGGGCAGTCCTTGCCCTGGAGTTTGTCACAGTGCACCTGGTGCAATGACATCACCCAGAAATGATGTCATCGTGCAGGGCACGTTCCAGGGGATGCTCTATCATTTAAGGAAAAACTGTATGGTTTTTCCTTAAACGATCGACTGTCCCCCTGGAACGTGCCCTGTGCGATGACGTCCCCTGGGTGCACTGCAACAAATAGGGCATTTTGGGGGTGGGTTCCCCCCAATGGCCAAATCCAGGTGAGTGGCTCTGGAGGCCCGAAAGCAGGCAGACCCCCGCCTGCATCGCCTAGCTCCTTTTATCATTTGGGGGGTTAGCATGCGCTTTTAGAGGTTTCTTATTTTTTTGCAAACTCTGAGCTTTCTTGTCTATCCATGGCCCCAATCTCTGAATATAAGTATCCACAGAGAGGCCATGTTAAGAATTAGATATATTGATTTTGTTCAAGAACTGATTGTAATCTCTCAATTACTTAAAGGGATAAAAGGACAAAGAGGCTCCCAGGGGGACCCTGGGCTTCCAGGACAGCATGGTGTTCCTGGTAAGGATGGGGATCCAGGAGTTTCTGGTGAAAAAGGACCTCAGGTACAATTGATAGTCTTGACAACTGTTTTACCCTTCATTCAAATCAATTTCCCAGTCTTCCTGGAAAGTGAGAACTGAATTACCAATTTTGTAGTCTTCTGCAGAAATTGCGTCCACTGACTGTTGTGGCTTTTTAGGGTTTGGTTCAATTTATCATTTGAATAATGTTCTAGAATGGTTATCGTTACCTATATCACTATGGTTACTCTTATCTATTATCCAACAAGATAGTAACACCACATGGTGCTATTTTTTCTTTAAGCAACTCTTCCCACTAAACTGTACACTCTTCTTTAATCTGAAACATGTGTATATGTGGGAGGGGGAAAGAGAGGGTGCTTGAGGATTCAGCTGGAGATGTTACAGGAGGCAAAGCAAGATGATAAACAACAGTGTACATGTTGACCCAGTGTGTGCACACTGATTACAACTATAGAAAAGTAATTATGTTTCTGTAATACATGTACCCTGATTTAAGAATAGCCATGCTGGGTTTTCTCCCATATATACAATGGGATCTTGCACAAGGAGAAAAGAATGCTGCCCTGCACAACTCAATAAAAACATTGGGATTTACATCTGTGATTGGTGTACAGAAGAATTTTAGAAGAGTATGTGTTTTCCAGGATATCTGACAGGCACTTCAGTCAATCACACTCAACAACGTTCCTTCAGAAGTTTCAGTTTATTGAGAGTGAGTACTTAAGACACCATGAACATCTGTGTCAGGAATGGAGGGATAGTGAAAGGAACCCCGGCTATAACCCCCTGACACAAAAAGGCCAATGAGCAAGCACCTGGGAACACGGGCAAAAAGCAATGGTTACATTCCCAGCAGGAAGCTAGGAGCAGGCAATACACAGCTTCAAAGACACTACTAAGGTAACAGCTCAAGACATAGAGAAGCAGGGAGGTGGAGTGAGAGACATGGACTGCAACCCACACATTTCATTACATGGCAGAATTAGCTGACAATATCTTAACTCTAGTTTGCAGTGGGAAGAAAGACTTTATTTAAAAGGGGGGGGGGGACATAAAAGATGGTTTGAAAGTTCAGGCTTCCAGGCAAAGGAAAGGTTTCCAGACAGAGAAAGCACATAATTCCCAACAGTGCATGTGGGACAGTTCCTGGTATAGGAATTTGAAGCGAAGGGGCAGGGGGTTAGGTGAGGAATTGATCTGGAGTTCCAGCAAATCTGGGAGCCCACATACATGCATCATGGCTGGGTCCATATGCAGGTGAATACACCAGAAATTCCTGTATTGTTGTGATTTATATCTTTCTCTCCTCTCCCACATCTTCCCAAAACTTTGAAAGAGATTGGAAGGGACAGCCAATTGTCAATGGTAAGAGTTTTGGAAGAAGAGTGGAAGTGGGGGATTTACACCTTCACAAAGTAGCATCATTTACCATTATAAGCAGGAAGATGGCTTCCAAGTCAGAGTCACTGCAGTGAAGTTACAACCATTTGGGGAATTGACAACATGGAAAGAAAAGTAATATAAAGAAGAAAATTAATTAATTTAGGGGGAAATTAATGTGAGTCCAGTTGTTATACATTATAGATTCAGGGGGGTAGCCATGTTGGTCTGAAGCAGCAGAGCAAAGTTCGAGCCCAGTGGCACCTTTAAGACCAACAAAGTTTTATTCAAGTAATATGCATTTGTGTGCATGGACACTTTTTCAGATCTGCACACATTATAATCATATATGGAATTGCAATACATTTCAAATGTGTGAAAGCATTATAAAATGTAATACTGTCCTCAGCATACAGTGTGCTCTTCGTTTCCCATTTTGCAGCGTTATCCATGTTGTAACTTTTTCATAATTTTAAATCTTTATATGGTCTTAAACAGGTATGATGATTTGCAACTGATTACATTGTACTAGGGTCTAGCACCTACTTGAATGCAATGCTGTTTAGTGTTTTTCAGGTCCTATACATGTATACGCTATAGTGCATATCTGTTGACAGGGTGATGATGGGATTGCTGTGTCAGGTGATAAGGGATTTCCTGGCCCTCTAGGACTTCCTGGCCCTAGAGGGCCCACAGGACCATCAGGACTTGGTATCTCAGGTCCACATGGTATCCGTGGTCTACCGGGAGATCCAGGAAGCCCTGGTATAAGAGGATTGCCTGGCCTCAAGGGGCAGAAAGGTAAATTTTAAAATATAGCTCAGAGAAATGTAATTTTTGTTGCACATTTTCTTGAAATGTTATCAGTGTATTAATCACAGTGCTGTAGTGTGTAGCTTGCAGTCCCATTGTCCAACTTTATGCATGTTTACCTGTATGTGTCACTTTGTTCAATGGCACTTATTCCAAAGTAAATGTGGTTAGAATTGCAGCTTTAGTTTTTCTCTGCAATGATAGCAGTGAAATACATTTCATTCTTCCCATAAACTCAGAGGTCCTTTTGGGGGGGAATGCGGGGGAACGCAGTTCCCCTGGGTGAGGTACAGGGGGCGGGGCACATGACAAAGCCCCGCCCCCCGCTTCCGGCGGCCCCGCTTCCGGCCCTCATTCAGCCAGGAGGAGGCAGGAGAAGAGGGAGGGTAAGTTGCTTCCTCCCTGCCTCTCCACACCCCTGCCTGCCTGGGTCCAGGGAGGGCCTTCGCGGGGCTTCCTTGCACTCCCGCCGGCCCCACCGCCGGGCCCCTCATGGGGCTCGGCAGTGGAGCTGCAAGGCCGGCGGTGGCGGCCGGGACTGTTGGGGGCGGGGTGTGTGGCCTTATGACACATTTCCGGTGATGTCAGGGGGTGTGACCTTATGACACACTTCCGGTGATGGCAGGGGGTGTGGCATATGCTAATGAGTTATGTTGATGAGTTCCCCTAGCTCTTTTTCTATGAAATGACCCCTGCATAAACTGAAGATGTATATATCATTTTCTATTGACAGTTTCTGGGGCTAAACCAGTGGATCTAAGAGATACTGTCTTGTGCTAAGACATTAGAGATATAAGCCTGAGTGTTTCTTGAGTATTGCATTGTTCCTAGACTCTGGAAATATTCCATCTATCTAGCCTTTAAAGGACTGTAAAGACTTCCAGATGGTGGGTCTTTTCCTGGGCAGTAGTTACTTGTCTGTCTTCTAGTTCTGTGGTTGCCTGTTGCCCAACCCTAACGTTTTCAATCAGTCAGTTGAACTTATGCTTGGTTGTTTTTTTTAGGGAGTATTGAATTATAGGAATAATAATGAAATATTGACAAATCTTCTTCTGTTTTAGGGAGTACTCTTCAACATGCAACTGGATATCCTGGGAATCCAGGCCCATCTGGTTCTCCAGGAAAACCAGGTATGCCTCAAAGAGCAAAATACATTAGTTTCCTTGTTCATCATGATCAGTTATCTAGCTTTAAATTATAGAGAGTAAAACAGTCCACCTCAATTAAAACTTATAAAAATAAAGCATAAGACAATAACCCTCAGCATCAGAAGAGAAATACAAAAGCAAGATTATTATAAATGATAACAAAATTAAAGGGTAATTTACTTTTTTCCCACTGGTGAGGGGGATAGGCCCTTTTGAACACTGGAAAGTCTAACCTGGGGATCATAGGACAAAAACCATGCATGACGGGGCTGAATTGAGGAGCATAATCAGATGAGATCAAGCAGAGAAGGTGGCACAATCTATTCCTCTGTGCTTTCACAAAGAATCCAGCGAAGTGTGAATGTATTTTACAGAATGTATTTTAGAAACATTAAACTAAGTTATGCTCAACCTGTGTTCTTTCTGCATATTCAGGCCCAAAAGGATCAAGAGGACCCCCTGGTCGACCTGGCCCCAATGGTTTTGATGGCCCAAAAGGCCAGCAGGGCAAACCAGGAACATTAGGTATTCCTGGTCCAGAGGGTAAGTGTGAGAAGGCCAGAGTATTTTCATTTGTTACATGTGGGAATGCACAGACTGCAATACAAACTGTTACCTTGATCTGGCTCTGCCTCTTTTTCTTTGTACACTATGCAAACTCCACACCATAAGTGAGGAGTAGTTGAATGTTGTATGGTCATCAATTAAATTCTGTTTTGGGAAGGACCTGAGGAACAGTGATAGATCATGTGCCTGTTGGATAAAGCATAAAGCCTTCTGCTCAGCTCCTTGCATAACTAGCTAAAATAAATTACATAACAGTCAAGATTATTTTTTTTAAAAAAACAGAGTATTTTTTAAACTAAAACCCAGCTAGCCTAGGTTGAAAGTCCTAGCTGGTTTGTATTCTAAAATATATGTATCTGAAACACTGAGAGTTTCATCTCATTAAAGCAATTTAAGATTACCGAGATTTCATTGTTCTGCAGGTGTCAGAGGTGAGACTGGTGATCCAGGTGAAGAAGGTAAAAGTGGTTCCAAGGTGGATGGTGCTCCAGGATTGCCAGGTCCTCCTGGGCCTCAGGGCCAGAAGGGCGTTCCAGGTGACATCAATTATGGGCCTCCAGGAATTCCAGGCAACAGGGGCCTTCCAGGAGTACCAGGTTTGTCTGGCATCAGAGGAGACACAGGCCTTCCTGGGCTTCAAGGTATGAACAGATTCATCTTCTATTTTTTAGATTTCGTTTGGGTCCCCAATTCTTGGAGAAGGGGTGAAGTAGAAAGCAGCACAATATTCATAAATGGTATCTCTCACATAAGAAGTTGAAGAATAAGACCTAGTTCTGTTTGGAAAACTACTGTTGAAAAAGAATTTAAGAAAGAGATGAAAAGAGGGGGTGGGGAGCATACAGAGGCAAAATTTCAGGGGCATAGCAATTCATGTAAGGAGATGAGATACTTTCACTTGGCTCCAATTTGTCAAAAAAGGAAACCACTAGGAAGTACAACAAACAATTCATATATGGTATTAGCTTGTAGACCTTTTAATATCCCAGTAGCATAACCTCTCTGGCAGAGCATCTGCTTGGTGTGCAGAAGTTCCCAGGTTCAATCCCTGGTATCTCTAGTTAGAAGGATCAGGAAGTAGGTAATGTGAAAGATTTCTGCCTGAGACCCTGCAGAGACACTGTCAGTCTGAGTAGACATATGAATATAAGACCATAAGAGAAGCCAACGTTGGATCAGGCCAATGGCCCATCCAGTCCATCATGGTGGCCAAAAATACCAGGTGCCATCAGGAGGTCCACCAGTGGGGCCAGGGCACTAGAAGCCCTCCTACTGTTGCCCCCACCCCAAGCACCAAGAATACAGGGCATCACTTGCCCCAGACCGAGAGTTCCTATCTATACCTTGTGGCTAATAGCCACTGATGGATCTCTGCTCCATATGTTTATCCAATAGACAATACTGACTTTGATGGACCGGTGGTCTGATTCAGTATAAGGCAGCTTTATGTATGTTCAGTATTAAGCATTGGTTCACTAGTGAAGCCTTTGGGATCCTGTTTCACCATAGAGCTGAAATCTCGTGAACAGCTCAGTACCAGATGGACAAAGGTAACCTTGACACTTGAGAATGTATATCTTCTCCGATCCTTCCATGTGTTAAGGATGAGTTTCAGTCAGCTAGACACTGCCAAATTATCACAGTTAAATTGCCCTTCCAGTGTGTTACATATTTGCTAGTAGGTTAACAATGTTGCCTTAATCTTCACAAGCCTGGTCTCAATATCAGTTGCTACTAGATGAAACGCTGTTGAGATTTTAGTGATTTTAGAGTGACTTTCACTGAGTGGAAGTAATATTATTTCTGCTTCAAAAATTCTGTGCTGCCTTTCTGTCTGTAAACCACAAGCCACAGATCCACTGAAGCAAAGTCATGTCTCTGTGCTACTTGAGTTTTCATGATTCTATGAAGATTTCCAGAGTTGGTAGTAGATGCAAAATGTAAGGTCAACCCAAACAGTTAGTTTGTGATGTAGTTAATTTGTTTTGCTACTGCACTGCAGAAGGGAATATTAAATGCCTCTTTGGGCTCAGGAAAGGAGAGGAGAATATCCTGTGAATCTGTGCAGTGAACAAGGGGCTGGCCTTACCATGGAGTACTGTGAAGCAATTGCTTTGGGAGGCAGCTTTCAGCAGTGATTCCACTTTCCTTCTCCTATCTCATCTTCGTTGTATAAAGTAAAGAAACTGAGTACAAGGCCAGAGCAGGGAATGTCACTGTTATTCTTTTGCTCCTAGTATGCAAATGTTTAAGGTTGGGACAGAGATAATTTGAGCCCGCAAAGTCTTCCAAAAGTAAAGCTGACTATTTAGCCACAACACTGAGTTACACCTTAAAGAATCATGATACTGTTGGAGAAAAGTGCTGGGTAAATGGCAGTCCTAAAAATGCACCTCTGCTCCTACTTCCTTCTTCTGTGGAAATACATGTGCAGAAGTTGCAATTCAAATAAAAAAACAACTGTTCTAGTTAGAAACTTCATTAAATGAATCAATACTAGGTTTAAGTAAGCTGTGTCAATCCAAATTAAATAGAACTCTTCCCACCTTAATGTGGAAGTTTTAAAGAAAGGGGGTTTCTTTTTTAGTTTTTTGCTCTTGAGAAATGTAATCTCTTTGCAGGACAGCCTGGCACACCAGGATCCCTAGGAGCTAAAGGTCTTAGCGGAAGAAAAGGTTCTACTGGAGCCCTAGGCTATCCTGGCTCACCTGGCCTCACCTGTGACAAAGGCTTGCAGGGGCCACCAGGACCTCCAGGCTATGTTGGGCCACCAGGCGCTCCAGGTGAGTACATCACAATCAGGGAAGAAAGCATCACATTCTTCAGTGTTACTCAGGGTGGCACAGTCATTGCTCTTGGGAAATGCCATCTCTTGATTAGAAATAGACTCCATTGATGACTTTGTATAACCAAGGGGAGGAGCTTTCCTGTGATTACCAAGACCAGTCTACCCAGGTAGCAATAGCGGGATTTGTTTTCTTGCTGCTCCTGTTGGAGGGAGCCTGCCATATTTCTTTGATTACTTTTCTTCTCTCCCTCTTCCACCATCTTAGTATTGGGATTTATTCATTGGCTAGTATAGCACAGTTGCACAGTTAGCAAAAAGGTGGATTCATGCTGAACAAACATGTATGCAGCAGATATATTGGGAAAAGAGATGTAATTTTACTGAAGTAGATTCACGTCCATTATAGCCGTAGTAGGTAAGATCCCAATCTAAAGGATGCGTTCCCCTAAAATAACTAGCTGGTTCTTCTAGCATTAGGTGAATGCAAATGCAGCATGGTCCCTCATGGGAGAGAGCCACAGAGAGGTCTTCCTTCTTGGATAGGGTTGCCAGCCTCCAGGTGGGGCCTGGGGATCTCCCGCTTTTACCACTGATCCCCAGCCGAAAGAGATCAGCTCCCCTGGAGAAATTGGCTGCTTGGAAGGGTGGACTCCATGGCACTGTACCATGCTGAGGCTCCTCCCCTCCCCAAACCACGCCCTCTCCTGGCTCCACCCCCAAAGTCTCCAGGTATTTTCCAACCCAGACTTGGCAACCCTATTCTTGGAAGACTATGAGAAGTAGGGGAAAACACAAAGAGACAGGAAGAGGAGGAGTCAGAGAGGAGCTCCCAGTTTAGGCAGGGAGAGACATCCTGTTCAGTAAGAATGAAACATACACACACACAATCAGGTTCCAATGTCCAGGCATTCTGAGTTGCCTTTAGTTGCTTAAGTCTTCAGCTTCAGTTTGGGGCAAGGAACCTATGCCATGAGTGTGGCTTCTCTACTCATAACAGAATTGCAAGTGTTTATGGGGGGGTGGGGGGTGGAATGCTTTTTTCTTATATTAATTAGCCCTAATGCTCCCCCAGAGGGAACAGAGTTACAGTAGTAACCAGTTTAGTTAGTTAGCCTGATGGCATGTGCCCTGTTCTCTTGTTTTTTCTTTCATGTTGATTTATTTCATAAATACAGAAAGTTGCATTCTGAGAAATGGCAATATTCGATTAATTTTCAGTTGTTACAGAATGAATGGGTGCTTTTTGCAGACTGTAGGCTCAGTTTTGGGAATCACCCTCACACTGGTAGTAAAAGATCATCATGAGGTCAGCTTACCAAGAGGAAGTAATTGCCAGTACTGTCCCACCCCGGAAACACTGAGAAGGAAAATTCAGTTAAGCGTCAAGTTTTTCTTTTCAGTTAATTCTATTCCGCATTTATGTGTGTTGATAAAAATAATGATGGTGTTCCACTTTGAACTTTTGCTGCTCTGCATGATGGGGAGCAACTTGAACAACCCCATAAAGAAATGTGTATGTGAAAGAGCACCTGAAATTTTCAAAGGATTCTGGTGAAGATCAGGAAAATTGTTAGTGGAAAGGCACCCAGACATTTTTATTACAGTTGTGCTAAGTTGGTAGTTTCAAGCCCTGAGTTTATAGATTCCAAAGGAGTACTTGAGGATGATATGTGGGGGTGGGGGAGGATCTCATAATAGTAGTTTTGTCTGGAACTAACCATCAGTTTATCCGCTTTTCCTCTGAGAAATGTTGGAGGTTTTGTATGTTTCCCTTTAATTATAAACTCAGCTACACTGAAAAACAAGTCCCAAAGATGGTAAGTGATAAGACCAGGAGCTGTGACAGTGGAGGTAGCAACAGCAAAGGAATTTTGACCACATGGGCCAATGGGGTTTGGAGAAGCAAATTGGTTGGCATGGGCATCTGGAAGATGTGCATTCTGCTCTAATGAAAATATTTCTCAGGTTTCAAGGGCTCCAAAGGCCTACAAGGAGATACGGGACCACCAGGCCCAGCTGGAATGAAAGGCATGCCAGGAGTTCCTGGAATAACAGGGCCACCTGGACTTCCTGGTTTAAGAGGAAATATAGGCCTTCCAGGAGATAATGGATTGCAGGGCCTCCCAGGACAAAAAGGTGCATAAGCTCTCATCTAAACCATTCATGTTTCAGAATTGTTCTTCTGGTTATTACACACACTGTACTTCTAACGATTTGAGTCTCATGTTTCCTAGGCTTTTTAAAGCCAGATGGTAGGCAAGTCCAGCTTGAGATTTGGGTCTGCAGTCCAGAGATACAAGTGGGCATGGACGGGAGTATTAAGGTTTCATTCAATGTCACAAGAAGCCAGTGTATAAATGACAGTTTGATTAAACTCCAGTGTAGTGTGACGTTTGAATACAGTCCATCTATCTAATTGTGGTTTGTTGTTGTGTGCTAAATTGGGATTCTAAATCTTGATTTATATCTGGTTTTATTAACTTTGTGTGAGAGTTATGTGCCTTCAAGTCACTTCTGACTTATGGCAACCCTATAAGTTAATGACTTCCAAAAAACCCTATCATTAACAGTGCAGCGCAGGTCTTGCAAACTGAAAGCTGTTGCTGCCTTTATTGAGTTAATCCATCTCATGTTAGGTCTTCCTCTTTTCCCACTGTCTGCATTTTTCCCTAGCATTATTGTCTTTTCCAGTAAGTCTTGTCTTCTCATGATGAGACCAAAGTATGATAGCCTTAGGCTGCTGCCACACGGGACGGCTGAAACGCGGCTAATCAGAGCTGCACCGAACTTGAGATGCTGCGGCGGGATCCCATGGATCCCCTCAGCCGCGGCGCATCGCTCCCTGGCACAATCAGATGCCGGGGAGGAAAGTCCGATGGGAGGGGGAGGCTGCCGAACTGCGCATGCTCGAGCATGTGCAGTACGCCCAGGGGCCGGGATGTGGCGGCGCAAGGACGCGCCGCCCGATCCCACGGCCCGGCTTGCGGCGCTGGAAGGGATACAACCACCTAGGTAGGTGGTTCTTTTTTACAGCGCGGTATCGCCGTTTGGGACGGATCAGGGACGGGCAGACAACGATTCTCAGATGTTGCCGTGGGATCGCGCCGGCTTGCTCCGCCCCCGTTCCGTCCCCCTCCCGGCCCAAACCGCCTCATATGGACAGGGCCTTAGTTTAGCTTTGATCCTAGTCTCCAGCAACACTTTCTTACACTTAAGGATCTTTTCTATTTCCTTCATGACTGCCCTTCCAATAAGTCTCAGTCTCCTTTTGATTTCTTAGTTGCACTTCCTCTTTTGGTTGATGATTGAGCTAAGGAATAAGAAATCACTATTAACTGTAGTTAATGGTATGTTGTGATGTGTGAATGTAGAAGTCCTAGTTTGTTCAGTAGTACTACCCCATCAGCCTCCTGTATACAGAGGTGGTTGTACAGAACAATATGGGAAAAAATGCTACATTCTGCTGTCAGTGGTATTTTCTCAGGACAGTCCCTCTCTTTTCTCTTGTAGCCAATGACTTACCAAGCAGGATTGCAGTTCCAGCCTCTCTCTAAGAGAAATTTCACAGACAGCAGGACAAAATATCTCACTTAATCATATGCTTGTATTCTGTTTGCCAACATACATGACACAAATGGTTCCACACAAAACACAGTCAAAACCAGTTCGCAACCAGTTCGCAACCTACTTACTGTCTGCCATACCTTCCTCTCATAAACATAGCTACTTCTTCAGGGATGCTTTTTATATCCCTGTAGAAATCTGTGGCCGCAATAATGTTTTTTCCGTTTGTCATATGTAATCATTATTGTAATGTTTAATACAAAAAGACAGATGTGTTACACATTCACACATTACAAGGCCCTTGTGGCTGAGCACAGACTTCTCAGTACGTCTTATCAAAAGCCCTCATACTCACCATGTTGGAGTCACAAGGACCTTGTAACATGTGAATTGGCACTAGTCCACAGTCTAGATGCCAGACGGAAATGCCCCCCTATTGTATCTGCGAATCAAATATTTAGCGAAATCTGAATTTCCATCCTATCTTTGCATGCTTATGATATCTAAATTAAGACAGTCAAAAATGCTTGCATGCTGTAATGCGCTTCCTGTAGCACAGATGAAGGGGCACTTTGCTGGGATTCCTTCAGAACAACATTTTTTGCAATTGTTCCTTGTTAATGGTTGATTCGTTCTTGCATGTTTTTCTTTATTAAGAAAATAAGAACATAAGATCAAGCCAAAGGCCCATCCAGTCCAACACTCTGTCACACAGTGGCCAAAAATACCAGGTGCCATCAGGAGGTCCACCAGTGGGGCCAGGACATTAGAAGCCCTCCCACTGTTGCCCCCCCAAGCACCAAGAAGGCAGAGTATCACTTGCCCCAGAGCCCCTATCTATACCTTGTGGCTAATAGCCACTGATGGACCTCTGCTCCACATGCCTATCTAATTCCCTTTTGAAGCTGTCCATGCTTGTAGCCGCCACCACTTCCTGTGGCAGTGAATTCCAAGTGTTAATCACTCTTTGGGTGAAGAAGTACTTCCTTTTATCCGTTCTAACCCGACCGCTCAGCAATTTCATGGAGTGCCCACGAGTTCTTGTATTGTGAGAAAGGGAGAAAAGTACCTTTTCCTGTACCTGTTCTTTCCCATGCATAATCTTGTAAACCTCGATCATGTCACCCCCTCAGTCGTCTTTTCTCCAAGCTAAAGAGCCCTAAGCGCTTTAACCTTTCCTCATAGGAAAAGTGTTCCAACCCTTTTATCATTCGAGTTGCCCTTTTCTGTACTTTTTCCAAAGCTATAATATCCTTTTTAAGGTGTGGTGACTAGAACTGCACACAGTATTCCAAATGAGATCGCACCATTGATTTATATAGGGGCATTATGATATTGGCTTATCTGTTTTCAATACCCTTCCTAATAATCCCCAGCATAGCATTGGCCTTCTTTATTGCAGTCACACACTGTCTCGACATTTTCAGTGAGTTATCTACTACAACTCCAAGATCTCTCTCTTGATCAGTCTCTGCCAGTTCAGACCCCATCAACGTGTATTTATAGTTAGGATTTTTGGCTCCAATGTGCATCACCTTGCACTTGGCCACATTGAACCCCATTTGCCATGTTGACGCCCACTCGCCCAAAATTGACAGATCCCTTTGGAGTGCCTCACAATCCTCACTGGTTTTCACCACCCTGAACAACTTCGTATCATCCGCAAATTTAGCCACTTCACTGCTTACTCCCAACTCCAAATCATTAATGAACAAGTTAAAAAGCAGTGGACCAAGTACTGATCCCTGCGGTACCCCACTGCTTACCCCCCTCCACTGAGAGAACTGCCCATTTATACTCACTCTCTGTTTTCTATTAATTAGCCAGGTTTTGATCCATAAAAGGACTTGTCCTTTTATCCCATGATTTTTGAGCTTACTTAGGAGCCTTTGATGAGGAACTTTATCAAAAGCTTTCTGGAAGTCAAGGTAAACAATATCTATTGGATCCCCCTTGTCCACATGTTTGTTCACCCCCTCAAAGAACATTAACAGGTTAGTGAGACAAGATCTTCCCTTACAGAACCCATGCTGAGTCTGCCTCAATAGGTTTTGTTCATCTATGTGCCTACTAATTCTTTCCTTAATAATGGTTTCCACCCATTTACCCGGTATCGACGTCAGACTGACTGGCCTGTAATTTCCCGGATCTCCTCTGGAACCCTTTTTAAAGATGGGAGTGACATTAGCTACCTTCCAGTCCTCAGGAATGGAGGCAGATTTTAAGGAAAGATTACATATTTTTGTCAGGAGATCCACAAGTTCACATTTGAGTTCTTTCAGAACTCTCAGATGTATGCCATCTGGGCCTGGTGATTTATCAGTTTTTAAGTTGTCTATCAGTTTTAGGACCTCCTCTCTCGTCACCTCAATCTGGCTCAGGTCTTTCAACACCCCTCTCGAAATCAGCGGTTCTGGAGTGGGCAAGCACTTCTCATCTTCCACAGTGAAGACAGAGGCAAAAAATGCATTTAGCTTCTCAGCCATTTCCCTATCATTCCCTATCATTGTTCTAAACACGCTATTGCCAGGGAGAAATTTCTTGAAAATTGGTTGTTAAACTATTCAGCCCCTTCTGATACCACAAATTAAGACTTATTGTAAAGTCTGCATGATTTATGTGGCTAAGTTTTTCTTTGCTGTTTTTAATTCTCACATGTTTTTCTTGGTGTACGGCTTATGGGCTGTTAAATCTGAATAAAGATAAAGACTTAATTGGGGGGGGGGCAGAATCCTGCAGTGTCCTAAAGACTGATAAATGTCTTATGGTATGAACTTTCTGTGACATTATAAAGTTAGCAGTTCAGTACAGCATTATTTAATTTCACCTTTATCTAAATATTTCTGTTAAGGAAGCAAAGGATCCCAAGGGATGCAAGGTTTCCCAGGGCTACCAGGAAATCAAGGAGAGAAGGGTGTTCCTGGTATAAAAGGTGAACAAGGACAAACAGGTCAGCATGGCCCTCCTGGAGAATGTGGATCTGTGGGCTCCAAAGGTATAGTTTAACAACTGTAAGCGACTGTTTCTGCTGCTCATTGAGTTTTCTTCAAGCCAAATGTTATTACCTGTTTTACCAAGCCCCTTTGGAAAGAATTTTCAATATGTGATAATTTAACCATGTGTAATAACTTAACCTTTGCTTAGTCTGTTGAGAGTTAAATGTCGGGATAGTTTCAATTCTCTCCTGGAGGAATTCATCTTTTTTTAAAAAAATAATTTTTATTATTTTCAACCATCCATCCAACCAACCAACAAACAAACAAACAAACATGAGAGTAGTAATAATACCGTTGTATCTTTTAAATCACTTCATACATATATATCTAAATGCCAGTTTTCCCACCATATGGTCATCTAATATTTTTGAAAATCTATATTTTGCAATCAAGATTTTTAACAATACTATTCTATAAGTCTAGCTATGAATATATTTTAAGATTATATAATCACAACGGTCTATAATTTTTGCATCTCAGTTAATATGACAAATTCTCTTTAAACATTCTACAATAGTCTTCTATAAACTGAAATTATCTATTAACTAAATTTATACCATTCTCCAGATTCATAATCACAAACTTTTCTCATTCTAATTATACTAATTATTTTGACGTCAATAAAAGTAAATTCTCTAGCCTGTGTCTTGTATCAAACTGCATTCTTAATAACAACCTTATATTCTTAGTATCAGCTTTGCTTATATATTTTAACCCTTGTGTGCTGTAATTTTGTGGCTATATGGGAAAAAAATTCAATTATAACCAATGTTAAACAGTTACATGTACAGAGAGGTTCCCTGGCCCACTTTAATCAATTACACTTGAAACAAAGGTTCCCTAGACCCATCTCATTTATAGAGCTTAAGTCTTTTCTTCTTTTTGTAATTTCTTGTTTTCAATAAAGTCTTGGTTCTGTGCCTTTTTCCCTTATACATAGAGAGGATTTCTTTTAGTGCTCGCCATCTATATTCAAATTTTAGGGTAGTTAAGGATTCCATAGACTCTGTTCATCTTCTCTCTGAAATATTTTCCCTTGTATCATTTTGAAGATTCCAAAGTTTTGCAGACTTTTTGTAGATCTGTTATTCTCAGTGTAGGTTAAATCAAGTTGAATGTAGTGCTGTTCTGCATCTTGTCCAGTTTGTTGTAGGGGCTCCTCTCTGTAAGTTAAATCAGCTTGATTGGAGTGTTGTTCTAAATTTTGCCCATTTACTTGAGTGCTGTGTTGTTCTGCTTGTTGCGCTGTGTGATGCTGGGATTCCTTTTTGTTGCTTGTAATCTGGTTTGATGTAACACCTTTTTTGACAAATATTGGCTCAAACGCCTTGTTGACACCCTGGTTAACTGCATCAAAAATTAAAGTCTGAAGCTCCTCCCATGACAACTGCAGCAGGCTGGTTTCTGTAGAACTGTCTATGCATGTGTCATGTGGTATTTTTCTGTATGTCCTGGTCACCCATTTTAATGCAATAGCAAAAATCCCAGTTCAGCCCAACAACACTCAAAAGCTCTGCAGATTATTTGTCCATACAGTCTTTCATGCTGACCATGTTTACCAGATAGTGCCTCTCACAGAAGTGTTAACAACCAAAAATCCTTTCACACAAATTAACATTCTTTGCAGCTCTAGACAAAATAGACTCTTCCGTTCTCAGCAATGAAACGTGACATCATAAAAAATTGCCACAAGAGTAAGGAATTTAACTCTATAAATCTTTCTTTCTTTCTATTTCTTTCTTTCTTTCTTTTTCCAATAAAAGCTTCATAGTCCTTTTGTAGAAGCTCAAACAATAGATCCTCTTTGCCCCAGGAGATATTCAAATCGGCTTTCTTTACATAAATCGTCCCGGCCACTTCGCGAAGAAAGGAGGGGGTGGCATTTCACACTTCCTTTCCGTGTCTTTTTAAAACTTCAAAGGGGGCTTTGCCAAGATGTCGTCAGTTTCTTCGATGTTGCTTTTATAGGTACTTACAGTGGATTTCTTCATCGATGTTACTGATGAGGCTCAATATAACTCTCTTAATTCTGGGGGGTTCACAGCTGGTGAAGTTATGGCTGCCATCCCTGCTCTGCTTCATTGCTTGCTTCTGGGACAATCCAGGGCATCAACCTGCTTCTTGCCTCAAACGGGCCCCCAGAATCAAGTCCCTTGCACCAGATCTCTCTCCAGGAGGTCCAGTGGCATTTGGGATCTCCCAAGAACTCCTCTAAAACAACTATAGAGAAGAAAGGAGAAAGCAAAGAGTGTGGGTTTGGTAAAACAGTGGAGCAAATGCTAGTTGCAGATTGGGCCAGAGATACAGGAGGCATACGATCTGATCTTCTGGCTTTTCCATCTTTTACGCCATCTGCTACTAACATCTGGCTGGAATGTGTATGATTTTATATATTGTGATTTTAATTATCTATGTTTTATTTTATGTGTGTTTTAATAGACATATTGATATAAGTATATTGTAAGCCGCCCTGAGCCTGCCTCGGCGGGGAGGTGCAGGATATAAATTTAACAAATAAATAAACTCTCCCATGTTCTAATCTATGCTGTATGTTGCTGCTAGAAAATGTATATGTTCGTTCTTTCTGTCTGGTATGCATCTACAGAGAGGCCATTTTCTTCTGCTTATTTCTTAAATAGCAGTCTTTGTGGTATAGGAGTTTTTTTCCATGTAAGGGATCTCCTAAACAGGTCCCGCACTTTCTTTCCTCTTTGCTTTCTCCTTTCTTCTCTATCAAACATAGAAGTGAGACAAGGACCAAGAGGTCTTCAGCCAAACATCGTAAGAACATAAGAGAAGCCAATGTTGGATCAGGCCAATGGCCCATCCAGTCCAACACTCTGTCGCACAGTGGCCAAAAATACCAAGTGCCATCAGGAGGACCATCAGTGGGGCCAGGACACTAGAAGCCCTACCACTGTTGACCCCCCCCCAAGCACCAGGAATACAGAGCATCACCTGCATCAGAGTCCCTATCCATACCTTGTGGCTAATAGCCACTGATGGACCTCTGCTCCATATATTTATCTAATTCCCTCTTGAAGCCGTCCATGCTAGTAGCCGCCACCACCTCCTGTGGCAGTGAATTCCATGTGTTAATCACTCTTTGGGTGAAGAAGTACTTCCTTTTATCTGTTCTAACCCGACCGCTCAGCAATTTCATTGAGTGCCCACGAGTTCTTGTATTGTGAGAAAGGGAGAAAAGTACTTCTTTCTCTACCTGCTCTATCCCATGCATAATCTTGTAAACCTCAATAATGTCCCCCCTCAGCTGTTGTTTCTCCAAGCTAAAGAGCCCCAAGCACTTTAACCTTTCTTCATAGGGAAAGTGCTCCAACCCTTTTATCATCCGAGTTGCCCTTTTCTGCACTTTTCCCAAAGCTATAATATCCTTTTTAAGGTGTGGTGACTAGAACTGTACACAGTATTTCAAATGAAGTCGCACCATTGATTTATATAGGGGCATTATGATATTGGCTGATCTGTTTTCAATACCCTTCCTAATAATCCCCAGCATAGCAGTGGCCTTTTTTATTGCAGTCACACACTGTCTCGACATTTTCAGTATGTTATCTACTATGACTCCAAGGTCTCTCTCTTGGTCAGTCTCTGCCAGTTCAGCCCCCATCAATGTGTATTTAATGTTAGAATTTTTGGCTCCAATGTGCATCACCTTGCACTTGGCCACACTGAAGCCCATTTGCCACGTTGATGTCTCGCCCATCCTCGACAGATCCCTTTGGAGTGCCTCACAATCCTCCCTGGTTTCCACCACCCTGAACAACTTAGTATCATTCGTATCATTCACAAATTCAGCCACTTCACCTGCTTACTCCCAAATCCAAATCATTAATGAACAAGTTAGAAAGCATCTATGTTAGAAAGTACTGATCCCTGTGGTACCCCATTGCTTACCACCCTCCACTGAGAAAATTGCCCGTTTATACTCACTCTCTGTATTTATACTCACTCTCACATCAGTGCGGTGCGGTGGGTGGACAATAATTAATAATTAAATGCCTGCCCTTCTCTCAGCTTGTATAAGTTTCCTCTGTATTTCAACTACTCAGTCAGGGTTCTCCCTGAACCAGCAAAGCAAAAATAGGGGGGGGGATTTCCCTCTCCTTAAACTCTAAATAGCAAAATATGTAAGATGTGGTATCAGTTCAGAGGTATAAGACAGGCCAGGATCTTGATCCCAAAAGAGGTTTCAGCTATAATTTTATTAAAAAAATATTTTCATACATTCTTGTATTCTTCTTGTAAGGTGAAAGAGGACTTCCAGGTGAAGATGGCTGTGTTATTCTATTGGTTGAAAAAGGACAAACTGGGGATCCAGGCCTTCCTGGTGAAGTAGGTTTACTAGGAGCACAGGGTAAGCAGTCATCCTACTTTTTAAGCCATATGGGATAAATATTTAGTTCAGACTCTAACGTCTTACAGGTGATGCCTGGTTTTTGGAAAGTACTCATAATCCACAGTTAAACAACTATGAAATGTACTATTTAGGAATTGTGCAAAATGTACTAGATAAAGAATCCTTTCCATTTCAGGTCTTATCATTTAGAATTTCTTTTTTGCTATGAGTTATCTATAAAACATTATTTATAACCTATACTTGGAATAATTTCAGGTGACAAAGGCAGCCCTGGGTTCAGAGGAATCCCAGGACTGCCAGGCAGAAGTGGACTTGTGCAAAAGGGTGAACCCGGTGATACCGGGCAGATGGGTTCCCAAGGGCTGCCAGGCCCACCTGGAATTCCAGGACTGAGAGGAATCATTGGTTTTCAAGGACAGCAGGGTGACCAGGTAAATATAGGTTCCCAGATCCTAGTCCAACTATACCACACTGGAAGTTCAGCTTCTTTATGTAATAACTAAATAATAAATGAACGCAGTGTAGCAAAAATCCACACCGTTAACAAATGGTAATGTTTTTATATTACTTAACGTCATATTCTTTTGGTTTCCTTTATGCTTAAGTATTACAACCAGCACCAATTTATTTTTCGTTGTTTTATTTAGGGAAGCTAATCATTGACTTTTGTTTTTTTGAGGCTTTGAGGCCTCTGTGACTTGTATTTACATCCAGCGAGCTGTTCACTGTGTACGGTGTAGAAATTGCAGGCTGTGGAAGGTCAGTAGTTCAGCAGTTCGAGACCCGAGTTGCTGCATGACGGAGTGAGCTCCCATCTCTAGTTCCAGCTCCTGCCAACCTAGCAGTTTGAAAGCAAGAAATTGCAAGTAGATAAATAGGTACCACTTTGGTGGGAAGGTAACAGCGTTCCGTGCACCTTGGTGTTTAGTCATGCCGGCCACATGACCACGGAAACATCTTCGGACAGCGCTGGCTCTTTGGCTTTGAAACGGATATGAGCACCGCAACCCTAGAGTCGGATTCAACTGGCTTTCGAGCAAGGGAATTTTTACCTTTACTTTTTATGGCCTTATTGTCTCCAGAGCCAATGGGATTATACAACAGCATCTGAGAATAGAATTCAGTCTGTGACATTTAGAAGATATCTCTACCACTGGAAGTACTTTCCAAGTATTGTGGTTGTTCCTCACTACATTTGCACAATGTTGTGGGTGTTTTTTAAAAAGATAGGTAGGTGGTATACCACACCAGTGAAGTCTGCTGGAGTCATCTTATTATTTAGGTGATCTGGGACAGTGCCAACACAGTGGCATAAATAGGGTGAGAGCCTGGAAGACTGAGACAGGAGCTATCAGAAGAAAAGCTTAAAGCATTTTCAGAGTACATGACTGGTATTACAAGGATGTAAA